TTTTTTGGTCCTCTCCAATCCCTGAATTCATCCTCTCTCACTCATCCTTAACAAGAAATGGTAGAGAATTGGCTCTGTGATAATTTCTCTTTTTTTCTTTCAGTTTCCTCTTTTTCAATCGTTATTATGGATAATTTTCAAAGCTAAACTCCTTTCCTTCTCTCCCTTCTTCTTGGCTCTTGTAAAGGTCATCATTTCTTCATCGTTTCTTTATTCATTTTTTTCAAGAATATTTTTTATCACAGTCTTTTATCTGATTTTTTCTGCCTTCGAGGTATCTCATCTGCAAGAAGGCTTCAGTAATTAGCCCCATCCAGCTTCCCAGGCTTCAAGAGGGACTTTTTCTTCATGCCGTTCATGGAATAGATAGAAAAGGCTTTCTTCTCTCAATTACATTTGAAGTGGTAAAATAATTCATGGCAAACAAAATAATGGAAAACCCAAATTTTCTGAATTGAAACTATTCAAATTATCGATTATTTTTGCTGAATTGTTTTCAACATTCTTTAAATGACAATCAAATGAATTTGTGGTTGAATATGCGTCTTTTACCAACGATTTTCGGTTTTAAAGCAAATTTGTTGGGATACCTACCCACCCCGACTATGGACCGCTTACCTATCTCACTTGATTTACTATGATTTCTTGTCTTCTGCATTGTATGCCGATATGTTTTTTATTTGTATTAAGCGATAACAATTTGTGATACTAACTAATACCGACACTCAAAAGCTATGAGCAAACAAGCGCGTAATCGAGAGTATTGGTAACATTTACTCGGCTCGGCACTACAGCTTCGATTTGTCATAGAAACGCCGCGACAGCCACTGAGCAGAGCAGTGTGCAGCACAGCCAGCCAATCCTCAAATTAATTCCCCTGTTTGCAAGCTCATCACCCTTCCTCTTCGACCACGGGCACAACCAGCTATGTAGCAGGTCGACCAGAAAGAATCAGTGTGGTAATAACAGCGATGAGGTGGTTTCTGTGCCGTTTGAAGACAGTTAGCGGTAGGCCGCCTCGGGAGTCGAACACGGGACCCGGAGCGACCTACCGCTACCTCCCCCCGGGACTCGACGGATGGTATGACGTAATATAAAGAGAGAATCTAGAAAATTGTTCTATAAAGCCTGTTTAATTGGGTGGAAGAGGCTTTTACACTTCTCTGAACAACATTTACGACCTTTTGTGACTTTGTACTCATGGACTTCTGTCTATCTGATTTCGGTTAACACTTGCTGAATTTCGCGATTGAAAGGGTACGATACCGAAAGATTCGCACATCCCGAGCTATAACGAATGGGCTGTGGAGTAGCAAAGGCCAGCAACCGCCACGAAATGTATTTTCTTTGAAATAAAGTTCGAAGCCGGCTGAGGCTCCGGGATTTCCAACGGTCAGCCTTTGATATCCCACCCGACTGAATACCATAGGGAAAATTCTCGTGTACTCGATTATTTTAGGTCACTTGCAACTATAAACCATTAAAATCTGAGCCATCTTCCACCTTGGTCGGATAGACTCATTGAAGATCTTTGCAAGGCCTTTCCTTTTCACCTTTTCTGCATTTTTTGGTTTCCTTTTTTTGCTTGCTGATTTCTTCCTGTTTTTTTTTTGGGAGTAGATTTTAAGATCTCAGTGTTCTACTAAGAACCTTCATTCTCGTTTCCTTCTAGGATATCCTCTTGATGAAGCCTTTCATGTCTTTTTTACCCCCAAGTGAAGTCGTTTATCAAGCATTCAAACCACATAGCCTTCACCATCGTTCCACCGTGAGGAATGTCCGCCCATGATTTTCTCCTTCAATTTGCTAACTATGGTATTCTCCAGTTCGTTACACTCCTTGATTCAGGGAAAGTTAACACCTGTCCTTAATCTCTAATCCGGAATCGCTTCATAGTTACGAAATGTCGCATTGACTTCTTGGTCAGCTGTTTTTGATGTTTCCGGTTGCGAAGCAACGCTCAATCAACCGTTAAAGAACGTAATCTACCATGTCCCAATTGCAGAATTTCACACGGAACATATCTAAACTCAAAGGGGTGCTGCCGGGAGATTGAGAACTCGAGAAGCCTCAAAACACGAGTAACATTAGGAGTAACTAGGGAAGATTAAAAGGCAAAGGGTGGTGGTAGTGCAGGAGAAAGTGACGCGCACAGTCACACACATGGTCCGGAGATCGATTCCTGAATCGATTTCCGCTCATGCCGGCTAGGTCTTCCATCCCTCCATTGTCGTTTAGTTTGTACCAGAATGTCTGGGAAGATAAAAGCACTGACATGTACATCGGCTCGTATATTGTGTGCACATTTAATTCGGCAGTGCATTCTAAATGCAAGTCGAATGCGTGGCGCATCCAGTCCAAAAAAATTGCCTTTAATCCTTCCCAGAGGCCAATGTACATTGAAAGTTTCGTGTTGTTTGATCATGTTTTTTTTTTGGGTTAGTTGCTCCCAGTACTCGACTTCAATCCAGAATAGTAACGGAGTTTGAATACCTACCTAGCCCGATTGTAGTTTTTGAATACCTACTTAGCCTAATTGCAGTTTCTGCCATTGTTCGACTTAGTGCATATGTCCTCCCAGAATAGGCACAGCACCGAGTAACCGTAGTTCGGAACATGGGAGGTCTAGACTTTGATCTTAGGAAGCAGTAGATATTTTAGAGAAGGGGGAGTGCCAATATTTTCATTCTCTGGGATGGTTTAATCTAGTAAATTAATGAATTAGGAAAGGGGATCGGGGTTGCCCAATTCAGGGCGGAGTATGAGCGGGGACTCCAGCTTCTATATTCAGAGCTCAAAGTCGAATGAATATAGGAAGTCGAAGAAAAAAATCAATAAACTATCCAATCTGAGATGTTTTTGCTTCGTTTCTTCAATCATTTGTTGATAGAACTCAAAATTTTTTTCCCGACAGCCCTCTCGGTAGGTTAACTCTCCATTCCGATTCAGTAACTACGCCTGAATCGCGATTTGGCATGCACTTCAGTCCAGTTGGAGACAGTAGAGGCAATAAATTCCGCTACAAATCTGCACGTAAGCTGCTGACGAAAACTGAGCACCGACTGCCACCACCGGGGTTGGAAGCAGTTCAAGTATGAAGGGATTGGAATTATATGGACGCAGGGTGTCGAGGCGCGTTTCTGGGAGAAGGAAAAATCTCCCAGAGCACCCAAGACGTTTTAGGCCACGCCATTCACTTACGTTTACAGCATAGGCCACTAGGCTGACACTTCAGGCACTGTCTATCGGTGTCAAAAGCTGCTTCTGTTCGCCAGTTAGTGGAAATCTAAGTTCCGTCTAAAATTCCACAAAGTAATTGGGGTTGGTCATAAAACTTTTGACTTGTTTGGCCATCCCTTTCGGTTTCGATGAGTATTTAGAGAAAGAAGAGCCAACAGAAAACCTTCGTGAACGGAAGTACAAGGTCCGAGGCCGAATTGTCTGCAGAATACATTTGATTTTTAAATCCCAGGTATAGCAAGGTGTCACTTCTTCCGATGGGTTAAGCGTGGGATTGCACGCTTGTAACAATGACAGAGTTTCTTCTTCGACATATGCGCTCAGGCGTGCCGACGTTGTTATCGCCAGCTCATGCCTCGTGCTAGTTCGCCGAACGCATAGTTTATTCATTCTATAGGACTTTTCAAGCCAGGGAAAATGTTCAGAATGAATGACGTTGCAAGAATTTCTCTTCTCTACATTATGTATTAGCCCTGCCAGAGTGAGAAAATGATACGGTAGGGCTGTACCCCCGTGAACAGTTGACTCTTTGTTCGTACAGGACTGTCCGTTTCCACCCTCTCAGGCCTTCTTTTGCCTACAGCTACTAACTATGGGACCCTCACTTATCTACCAATTCATCCTCAACAGTCGTTTCAACGTNCTTCCAAACTATCTGCTATGTTTAGTGTCCTCTTCCTATTCACTACGCAGAAATGACCTTTACGCATATTCTATGTTGGACGTAAAATTTCCTCAATTCCAGTAAATTACTACGTACTAAATTTATCCATCCGTACAGCCTATTTCAAATTTATGACCTCATCGCCGATGAGACGAAATCTACCTCCCACGCTCCACTCCACGCTACCGTAAAACGGATTTCACATATCCACTTCTCCACCCGATTATTCGGGAATTGTTTTTGGGGTACATAGCTCTGCTAAAAAAATTTCTTTTTCACTATGGATGTTTTCATGAAACCATTTCTTGCAAGCTCCTCGACAAACTTGATTGCCTCTTTTCTTTCTTTTTTAACTCTCTGAACTGATGACTTGCTTACAAATAGTTTGCATTTTGGTAGTTAGTGAACTGGAGATTTTTGATGGCTTAATATTGGCCCGATTCTTGCAAGAGCTATGGTTCAATCGGCATGTTTTTGAGCCAAGAAAAAGGGTGTTTGAATATCAAAGCAAATTTTTTCTCAAATTTTCTTCAAGAGATCTTGTAAAAAGTTCACTGAGCTGGATATCAGTTACGGCTTCAACTGTTATTAAGGAGCCGGTGGGTTCGCTTAGCTTTTTGTGGAGTTTCACTCTTGATCCCGTTCACTTTTGCTTCTATTCGTCTTGATACATAGTATTTTTCGTTTATCGATCGATTTACCGTATCCCATTGACAGGAAGAGCTTTTCTTCAGCAGTCCAATATCTAAATGTGGAAAATCGTAAAATCTCCCTGAAACAGGTTGAGTTGATTAGTTTTATAAGACAGAAGATTTTTTTAATACCCGCTGTTTTCTTTGTATTTTGAAATATCCTTATTTCCCTTTTTCTTAAATCAAAATATCGAACTGTAGGCATGCGAATTTTTTTTAATTTTCAAGAAATGAACTGATGAAGTGCAAAGAGAAAAAAGGGTCGCTAGGAGATAGGAGTTAATGCATGCTTTGAGCGTTGTGATGGGTACGCAGTGCTCTGAGATGCATAAAAATTGCAAAAAAATACTGAAAAACCTTTTTCATATTTGAAAAATTGTGAAAATGTTGATTTGTGAGAAGATATGAAGTAACTTCTGGTATGACGATAGAATACCTACCTGCACGAAGGCGCTCCTGGAGAGGGGAGGTACTGGAGCATACAGAAATTTGTGAAAATTTTTCCCAACGAAAAATTCTCCCAAATTTTCTGGGGCAAGACTCATTCAGCTTGTTGGACCCAAACTGTACAAAAATCCATTGTGAAAGTCTTATTTTCAGATCTGATGAACGACTGGGAAATAGGCGGCACACAGAACAAATGGGTATGCCCAAGTGACCGACATCTACAATTGAGAGCACAGTAAGTTGGCTTTATTT